AGTTGATAAGACATGATAATTAACCGCAAAAAGCATGGGTATGGATAACACATTGAAAGTAATACCAGAGAGCAAATTTAACGCTTACAATAAAGCATGGGCACAGATAACTTATTGGTTCATCTGCCACTGCTTATTATCTACCAAGAAACTACAAATGAAATGTATAACTAAATTAGGAATAAGAACTCCATAAAACATTGGCTTTGGTCTGCAAACCATTAATCTGATTGGAGATGGAAACTAAACCAAGATCGGGTAAAGTTTGAACGTAAGATATAAGTACAGTCATTCGAGTAAATAATAGAGAGGTAACCACCAGATCATCTTCTATTCTAGAACTCTGTAAATCTGGGATTACAATATTTGGCAACAAAACTGACATCTTAGGTATTCTATTGACTAACATCACCCATCTGTTTGCAGAGAACACAACTTTTAGATACCTTTGAAGAGCAATAAGATATCGATATGTCAGGTTAAAATGCTATAAAACTAAATTTACCATGCTACAAAGTAAACTTGCCATGTTAGTTCACATAATGAATCCTTTGTGCAGGGAGTTCTAGCGACGCATTATACAAGGAGCTATGGCATGCTTGGGCTAGGCCGTTGATCACAGTGCCTCGCCAAGGTGAAAGGATTTACAACTTTCCGCATGTTTATATGGAACAGGTATGTCTCACCGCATTGGTGTTTGCTCTTCTTGATGCCCCATAACTAATGAATGAATTTTCTACTCAACACATGCAGTAGCTATTTGTGTCATGGGACACTGCTTTGTTCTTGTGTTAAAAATGACAATATGACTTTGTTTATGTGGAATAATCATCCAAGTATTTAAAGATCATCCACATCCACGTACATATTTAGAACCTGATAGGATCCTTTTGTGTGCGCGGCGTGTGCTTCTCTAGTGTGGTCATGTATTAGTTGACAAATGAATATCCATCAAAGGGTACCACCTTACATACAGTGCTTCCAACCTTGTAGGCCTCACCAGAAGTCCCTTTGCTAAGCTTCACTGCGATGCCTAACTTACTACATTTGACAAACATCTTTGCTAACTGATAAAAGCAACAGCGTAAGTAAATAAAATCATTTTCACATGTTATGACAAACTGATTCTTCCAGCTGACCAAAAACCAAAGAAAACAGAGTACTAATACACAAAGAGACTGTATAATTGTTAAGGCTACTTTACGAACTAATTTGGGAATAGACTGAACATATCAGGAAATACACGAGTTGACTGAAGAAAAAAAAACATCATCTACTAATACTATACTAAATGAACATTATCCATTCACATCTCCAGTATTGTACTATTATACATGATAGAGAATGACTAATAGTACTCATTCTTCTCTTAAAGACGTCAAGAAAATACAGTCAGTAGAAAAGGTAGAAGGATTTTGAGCACTAAACTCCAGTTATCAGTACACCTGACTATCTACATATCTCCAACCGGTTAATTTATGAATCATCACATTTACCTATAAGGGGGCATTTGTCTGTAAGATGTGATTTGCTTGCATGCATTTCATAGATAAATATGTGAATAAAAGTTAGGACTTGCTTACATACCTGGATATTGACATTCACATACAGAGACAATACATCTTCAAGACACAAGAATGTATAGTCACAAACTCACAATTCCATGGCAGCAAAAATCTTCAATAATCTGTGAACTCCATAAACAATGATATTATAAATCTCTTGTTTTATTGATATATTGGAATATAGAAGAAGGAGATGTACTCTACAAGAGAGAAGCAACCATCAACCGTGCTAATGTCACCTCTCCATACTACCATCGGTCCAAAGGCACTCAAGTAAAAATCAAAACACAAAAACGGCAAATGGCACTTGGAGTTTGGAGCCCGCTCATCTGATTTAGATAATCTGGGAAAGAGCAATGATTTTGCCCTCTTGTGGACTTAAAATAGAATTCGAAAAGTTCAGTGAACTGATGAATGGGTGCTTTAAGCTCATCCAACTTCCTTAGTTTTGAAAATGAACAAATCCCTCTCAAAACATAATTTAATACATCATATTTATGTAGACATTGCCAATTCAATTTTCTGGTACGCAATAGTTAAAAAATAGGAACTTCTAGTACAACATACATATACGCAGGAGTATATCAGTAAGCATGGTAGAGTTCATCTGCAACACAATAAATGTTCAAATACATGGAAGGCTGAAATTATCTTTATAGATTAATATAACCAAGGCATCAATCAGTACATGCATGAGATCTGTGTTGCTCGCTAGCAGGAACAAACCTTGTTGTATTCACAAGAGAAAAGATTCACCTTCCTTTGCTAGATTCCTCTTCTCATCTTATTTCTTGGATCTGCACACATCCATTTTAGAAAGTCCATATCTTAGCAAGCCAAAAATCAGAGTGGCGGGGCAAATGAATGGTAAAGAGAGAAGCACCTACTTCCTAACCTTGCATTCCAAATAACTACATAAATGATACCCTAGCCTTTTTTACACTTTTCCAAGCAGTAATTGCATTTTCACACTTTGTCGAGCAGATTCAGTCTATAACAAAACAAACAATAGATATGTGAGGTAAGTGTTGCTTGCGGGCAAGTAAATGGAAGGCAACCAGAACTGAACATATACCTGTTCTGGACTGGATGGCCGCTGCTTATTTCAAAGGTGTGGCTGGCCCTCTTTTGTCCGAGATAAAAATCAAGCAATGAAGAACCCATAAGCAAATTGTAGACTACCATAATCACATGGTCAGCAACTGAAACAGCCATAAATTACCATCCAGACCCTTAATTTTTGCAGCATACCTTTATATGTAAGAAATGTAGATATGGAAATGATCCAAAAAAGTAGACCCAAACAAAATTTGCCATAGAACTCGCTTTAGATTATTTAGTAATTACTAATGAAGTATATTAAAATGAGATATAACCAATTCATCTGTGGTAGAGTACATACTAACCTAAGTAAAGCAAACCCTGAAATCCTGGGTGCTGTAATAAAGCTAGTGGTCAATAACTGAAAGTAGCATGGGAGTATAGCATGCTCATAGACGTGCCATAATGATTTCCACACTCTCATGCACATCTACAATTTTAATGCACAATGGCTTTGGCTAACTGAATGGAACCTAGCTGCATTTGTTAAGCGACTTGACACTGATCTATGTCACCAAACTGCAACAGGAGTCTCCCGCAAATTGAATCCGCTGAAGAATAAACTCTGAATCCGCTGCTAATGCAGAAGCTAATTAAACAGCAGTGGCAAACTGCGTTTGAAAAGCAGTGCATGATTGAGGGGGAGGGTAGCTTCGCTGCGATAGCCACTCCCTCCTTATTACTGTATGCCCCCTCGGTAGTTTGATTCATGGCGTGCACCTCTTGGTTAGCACCTAATGGCCATCTGCAAGGCCGATGCAATGAGGCATCACTAAACAATAAAACACATATATAGGAATATGCAGACCTACAATCTGGCTCGAGCAAGGAAAATAAAAACCTACTAAAAGGGCCAAAACACTAACCTGAGAGGGTGAGGGATGACAAAAGCACACTCGTCATGAAGCATATCGGCATGGTGCATATTTGGTTTTCTGAAATAAAGCATTAGCAATTAACATTCTTTTTTCATCATACACGGCCAGTGATTAAAATCTCCTCCTTAAAGCATGTAAACCAGTAATATAGCATGCAGAATATAGCATCACAAAATTTCTCCCCAAAAGAAACGCCAAATTTCACATGGCGGTAATTAAAACAACATCACAATGAAATAAGAGAATAAAGCTACAATCAAATTGATCCACAAACCTCTGTAGCTTGCATATACACCAATGGAAGGTGGCTGGCAATCTGAAATTACAAACCTAGCTAAAGTTAGTGAAAGCGCTAAACTTGAAAGGAAGCATGGGGGCAGCCGAGCAGTGATAGCACCATACCTCCATGTACCTCATCCTTTGTGGCCAATTGCAGATTACCAAGAAGCCATCGCTGCTCTTTGTGGCCTCCTTTGAAGGATAATCTGCAGACCACCGTACTGTATAATAAAAAAATCAGTGTGGGGATTAAATATTTTAGATCAAGGACGACTCACCTGGGCAGGGGAGAAGGGAAGTGCAGCGCCGCCAACCACAACACGCGAAGGCCGCCGAACTTGAACCGCCACCCCATCCTGCTCCATCAGCCTATTTCTTTGCCGGTCGCACGCCTTCCTCCGACGATGAGGGATTCCGGCAACCATCGGATCCACCACTTCTGTCCATCTAATCCAGCAGAACCAGACCTAGGCCGACGAGGAGGATGACCTGGCAGGTCGGGGCGCTGTCAGGGAAGGATGTCCTCTTCCTCTCGTCTCCTTATCCATACCACAGCGGTCTCAGCCGGTGACGTCTAGGTCGACGGCGGCGGCGGCGACAACGACGACTGAGGTAGGAGAATTCGGGGAGAGGAGAGGAGGCGGCGGCGGCGGCAGGAGAACGAGGAAGAGGAGAGGAGGCGGCTGCAGCTGCGGGCGGCTAGGTCACATGGCCTCTGACCAATGGTCGAGACCGCCACGCCGCTCTTATCCAGTTGGCAATCCCTCTCGTATGAGCTACCTGAGCACCCAAGCCACTTCACAGCAGGCCCAAATGCCAACCGGGACCATCGAAACAGCAGGGTAGAGCACGGTCTGCGTAGACCAGGGAAAACCCATCCCTTCACGTCGCTCCCACCCAACCACGAACTGCGGTCCACCAGCCAATCGCCCACCCAGCTCAAGAGAAACCCAGCCTCCGCTCAGTGGCCCCATAGACACTCGACCCCATCAGTCATAGAGCTACATAATTATTGGACGTGTGTGAATGCAACGAGCGGTTGGCCAATTGACAGCAGGGTAAAACTGCAAACAGTAAATGCATCGTGCGGTTGAAAATGCTGCGCGAACGCAATGCCGCTGGAACAGCGGGTAGTCTAGCAGGCTTTATATGTTAGATGGCGTTCGCCATACTCCCTTCATCTTCGCAAAATGAAGTGGGGCTGACGCTCCTGCTCCTGCTCAGGCTCGTGCTCGCCCCTGCTCCACCTCCTGCCCCTACTCCTGCTCCTGCTCCTGCTCCTGCCACTGCGGCCTCTCGAACGCCTGTTTCGACCAGGGTCCTTCCTTTCACGGTCAAGTCCCCAGTCCCTCCTTTCACGGCTCCTGCTTCTGCTCCTGCGGCGTCCACTCGAACAGCCATTTCGGTCAGAACCCCTACGTCTCTCATCATCCCTTTCAAGGTCTTTCTTGACTTGGGCTTGCCGACCTTGCTCCCTAACATTGTGCCTAGGACGATCATGCTCTGAATGGTTCCTCTCAGTATCATGACTACTCTCACAACTTTGACTTCGGTGCTTCCTCGGTGGAGATTTTGCATGACCACTTTCACTTCCTTGTACGGAAGAATACTGAATTATCCCTGACAGTTTTGTTGGGAGCCTCATCGTCTTAAGATCGGCCATGACCTCTTGCAAAACTCGGGTTGGCATTCGCGGAAGAGGACTGCCGAAGTAGCGCTGCAAAGAAACAGTAAATGATAACATAAATTAGTTCACCAAACATGTGAATGATATTTCTCAAATGAAGCTACCAGAATAATGACCTGGAAAAGAAATATTAGACGCAGAACTTGTCAAGGAACTTAGAATAATAACCGAGTATGATTGTCATGTTAATTTGTTCTGTTGAGTTTGGCATACTAGCGTCTAGGCTTGGACTGAGGTGTACTCAGTTATTGCTTACCCCAAAATTGGCAGAACATACTTTACAGTTAAAAATGGATATAAGAAAAAAGCAAGAATACAATGAGGATCATCTAAACCAAGCGTGCTTTCAACATGAGAATCTTGTGGCCATCAGGGACAACGGGAGTAAGAAAAGAAAGCCATCCAGGTACATATTTCACTCTCCATAAGCACCAGATATGAAAGAAATAATGAGTAATATTTGAGAAATCAACATGCTATGGAGGTCAGTCTACATCATTTATATCCTACCATATGGATTTATGCCAACAAATAAGGAGGGCTTAGATTGAAATTTTTATAGCCTTTAGTCATCACTCGCAGGCTATGTCAGGGGCGAGGCACTGCGCCCCAGACTTGGACCAGTTTGTGAAGAGAAAATTGTAGGGAGGGCATTCATTGGAAACTTTATAGACTACCCCCCACCCCCACTCCCTTCCAACACGCACTTTTTTTCTAGGTATGCAACTGAAGGCAGAAAAAGGAACACCTCTGATGACAACTGTAGGAACACAGAGATCTTGGTAAGAACAAACCTCAGAGCAGTTTCATCTTAAAATTAGAGGAAAAGCAATTATGAGAGGCTAGTGGAGAAATGGTTACTGTGATCTTCTCTATAATATGTGTGTGCTTCGTCACTTCGCGTCAATAGGGCATGTTTCAAGGTATCGGATAGTTCATATAACCAATATTAACCATTTAACGAAAATGAGTGCTATGCCTATACTGGTGTGGTTGTTTTGATCTTTTTGATAGATTCATGTCAAAAACGAATAGTGAACATAGTACTAAAAGCCCAATGAAATGAACATGAGTGAATATATAGTACAAAATAGCTGAAATTAGTAAGAAATTGTGGGCGGGAAATTAGGGAATTAGATATACTAAATAAACTGAAAGAACCATAAGTAATCTATGCTGGAAGCGAGCATCACATCAATAGCTGAATAAGAGCATCAAAACAATAAAAAAGATGTAGGCTAAAACCCATTCTAGTTTAGGCTATTATTTACCATCACTGAGGCGTAAGTATCGGACACAGAGAATTTATACTTGGATGCTATCAAATTAGGGATGCTATGATATGGTTCATGAAATGGAAGAACAATTACAGAGTGCAGTACATGAACAAAAGGGTGAAAAAGCAGCAGTGTACATCAAATAGGAAGACATGGTACCCAAATAAACACTGAATTCTGCAGTACTCGGTTTTCTTTTTACCTGATCTACTATTCACATGGATAACGCAAAGGTTAAGGAGAGACATACTTCTCTATAAAAGTAAACAGAAATAACTGCATAAATGCATTTTGAAAGTAAAAGAAAATCAAATGACACTGAACCCCCTACAGGCCAAATTGCTTAAAACAATAAGATTACAAATTAGTTTACACCATGCGCCACCCGGTTAAAGCATATCCAAGCTAAAGTTAACTAAGCGCAGCTCAACTTATGCATAGGTAGTACTCCAATTTCTCACAATGGTACTTTCTGTTCTCCTAATTTTACATGCTGAAAATATTGGATTGCCTTGCCGATAAATTGCACTTTCATGCTTATAGGTGAATGTGTGATCCCACCTACTTATGTAAGGGTCCACGTCAAATAAATATGTGCTATTAAGCATAAATTTTAGTAAGATAGTTTTTTCAATCGCCAAACATATCAAAATAGACATCATTGATTTCCTTTACTCTTACATACTCGGGACAGGAGAACATATGTGCACTTCAAATCTATATTGCATTTGCATAAGCTAAGTAGAAGCTCTGCACTGAATAATGCATCCACTGATATTCTTCATGCAATATATTTAACGAATTAGAGCCTGACATGTGAATGTGATAAAATGTGCATATATACGTCAAGGGGCATGTATCACATAATTAGTTACATAAATCCTTGTTGATTTGGAGGCAATTGTGGTGATGTCATACAGCAAGACCTTGCAATCTACAGATATGCCATGAAAATAAGAAAAAAAAACAAATAATTTATTCAGTGATATCATAGGCCATGGCTTACTTTAAGAATTAGCAAAAAAAAAATCTGAAACTGTGCACATAGATCAGACAAATTTGGTCCCTTGTTGGCATCTTTGCTACCGCAAATATTTCTTCTATATATACTAATTTTTATATAAACTATGAACATAGTGAACTATTTGTAGCACTGGATCAACTCCTTTGTCATTGCACTATTATTACTTATTACGAAGCCTTTTATCCCAAAAAAAGTTGGGGTAGGCTAGATATGAAACCCTTTCACGAGGACTTCCCAGGAGGTCACCCATCCTAGTACTACTCTCGCCCAAATGGGTTTCATACCCAAAAGACTGGCTAGTTTTTACGTTGGCTCGCCAAGCCTATCACAACCCTTAGATATGAAACCCTTTCACGAGGACTTCCCAGGAGGTCACCCATCCTAGTACTACTCTCGCTCAAACGGGTTTCATACCTATGGGACTGGCTAGTTTTTACGTTGGCTCGCCAAGCCTATCACAACCCTCCTCCTTTACCCGGGCTTGGGACCGGCTATGCCTAGAAGACATAGGCGGAATTTCCTTTGTCATTGCACTATTCTAATTAATTTGGGCCTATGGATGGCCAAAGGAGAATATTCTGTTACCTTAAACTGAAAATAGTACACATGTTTCCAGATCTAAAAGTAATGAGAGTCTAGGACTTCTGTGATAATAATTCATAGAGAAATCACTCATAATATTTACAGTTTTCATCATATTTGATCAATGAACGGAGATATTCCTTTTTTATATCAAACAGAGATCTTCCTAACTTCACAAAGAGCAGCAAACACATACTTGTAATCCAAGGGATCTTAAGAAGCAAGTGAAAATATGCATACCAGGAAACTTAACAAATGAACATGGTTATTAAAATTCATAGTTTATCTTTACCTGGCTGATCAATTAACCTATGTATCTTTATCTGTTGGGGTGAGGACACGTCCATCACAATGAAGGCAAAACAAATCTGTGAACCAAAGAAAACTTAACTGGACGTATCTAGTGATAATGCAATGCATGGAGTTAGGAAGAGCTAGCCTTGATTATAAGGGTAAACTGGGGAGTTGGGGGCGCAGACACCAACAGGAAATGATCTAGCCCAGGCCGTCGTCTGGAAGAGGTTTGCTGTGCAGCATGATCCTAGGAGGAGAGGTGGACACAACAAAAATTGACCATGGGGCCACTCGAGACCAGGACAGAAGCAATGGCCGTGACTACCGTGAGAAATCAAGAAGCAGGAGGCACCTCTGCGGCTCCGCTTGTGTGCCCAACGTAGATATACACGTCTCTCTCGGAGGCGCCATAGAGGTGGCCATAGGGAGAAGAATCAACTTGAGTCATGATATTGAGTTTTGTTTTAGGCAAGCCGAGCAGTCGTGAGAGATTATAGGGGCTGGGGGCGTCCCACATCTTTAACTACATCAAACGACGAATAAAAAACAACTTGCCTCCAATTAGTAAATATAAGATGACTCCTAAGTGCTAATGTTTCATGCCAAGTGAGACAGATATCATCCATTATTGTATTAGCTATACTGTAAGAATTGAAGGACCACCACCAAACAAACAGCTCATCAAACAACAGAGTTCAACTGATTGAATCAACCAAAATAGTAGTACTACTCAATCTGGTACTACTTTTTTGCTATCTTGCATGGATAATAAAATCTCCAAACTATTGGACATGTTAACCCATTAACCCAAAATATCACAGGATCTTGACTAGGAATGAATGTGGGAGGCAACCAGTCAAGAGCTGTTTACTTGAACTTTGGCATCCTTAAAGCCAAAACAAAGTTCAAGAGCTTCCAGTTATAAGATACTCCCTCCGTTCCTAAATATAAGTCTTTTTAGACATTTCAAATGGACTACAACATACGGATGTATGTAGACATATTTTAGAGTGCAGATTCACTCATTTTGCTCCATATGTAGTCACTTGTTGAAATCTCTAGAAAGACCTATATTACCGAAAAAGGCTTTCGCCCCGCTTTATATATAAAGCATCGACCAACAACAACCCGGTACAAACGCACGCCACCACAACACACGCACACACCCGAGGCAAGATACATAAGCGCTGAGCGCAGCAACACCACCCCAAGCACTACAAGAGCAGCCGGGTCCTCGACCGTGAACACGCCACCGCGAAGAGATGAAGCCGCATATGACGAACCGTGGGCTCCAAGGCGGTGCCTTCAGGAAGGATACGACACCGGAGCGTCGCCACCGCCCGACCCGAGAGTCAGAGTTTCCCCTGGAGCAACACGACGGGCAATGATGGTCGCGGCGACGCCTTCAGGAAGGGAACGAGCTTCGCCGCCGCCGGTCCGTCCGAAGATAGAACAGGTTTTCACCCCGGCTAATACTCACCGCCACCGAACGCCACACCCCGGTGACCATGCCGCCCACACGACCATGGTCACAGGGCAGCACCCAGGCACGGGCTTTGCCCAAGAGCACCGTGACACCACCACCAGGGCCGCCGCCCCGGCATCCAAGACCTCGACGCCACCTCACCAGTTACCCAGCGCCACGCCACCTATAGAGACGGGTGGAAAGGCCCCACCTTTCGCACCCCTGAGCTGCCCCCAACCAGCCGCCATCGGCCCGTCCTGCTGCCGGGCGCGAGACTAGCGCGGTCCTGCTGCCGGGCACGAGACGGCCACGGTCCTGCTGCCGGGCGCGAGACGGGCGCGGTCCTGCTGCCGGGCGCGAGATGGGAGCGGTCCTGCTGCCGGGCGCGAGACGGGCAATGGACCACGGCTGGGAGAAGCTCCGTCCATCGACGGAAGTGGAGCGCGGGCGACGGGGAGAGGAATCGAAGGCCGCCGCACGCCGCCTACCGACGAACCGACGCCGAAACATGCCAGCCGCCGCCGCAGCCGACTTGCCAAGCTACCGTGGAACTCTCCACGGCCGGAGCAGCAGCCACACCAGGCCACTGCCCATCCCGCGCCGCCCGCCGGACTCCTGGCAATGAATCCGCCGGGCACGCAGCCACCAAATCGGCCAGCGCACCGGCCGCACCACCTGCGCCGCCGCACACACCACCACACCTGCGCCGCCACCTCCCCCAGCCAGGACGGCCAAGGCAGAGGGGGCCGCCCGCAGC